TGCCTTCCTTCCTTCATTTCTACTTTTATTTTTTTCTTTGTTAATCCTCACCGAAGTATATTTTTCCCGTTGACTTTTAGAGTGAGTAGAAGGGAGGGAGGGAGGGGAGAGACACAGAAAGAGAGAGAGACATCGATTTGAGAGAGACATGAGCTGGGGATCGAACCTGAAAACCGGGTACATGCCCTTGAAATCGATTTGAGAGAGACATGAGCTGGGGATCGAACCTGCAAACCGGGTACATGCCCTTGACTGGGAATCAAACCCAAGACCCTTCCGTGCCCCAGCTGAGAACACCAGCCAGGGCACTATTCTTTATTTTTGTTTACATTTATATGATTACAAACAATTATTTTAGTATAATGGTACATGTGAATTATAAAAAATTACTAGAATACAGAAAAGTACAAAAAAGATAGAGGGAAAAATTACACTAGAGAAATAATAGTCAATAAAAATTTTGTGAGAATCACTATAGATTCTTCTTAATCTGTATTTATAGATTAAAGATTAGGTAGACAGAAGTATGCTTTCTTCCACATTGACATCAGATTTAGCCATGAGACTTATTTTGGCCTGTGGAACGAGAGTGAAAGTGACATATACCACATCCAGGTAAATGTCGTAAGAATCATTGCTTTTATTTGCCTTTGCTTTTCGCCCTTTGTCATTAGAGTGTCTTATTCCTAATATAGCTTGTTGCTCCAGTTTGAGTTTTAGAATAGAGAAAAGCCACATGTAATGTGAGCAAGCAGTAAGACTTTGTTTTTGTCAACTATGAAGATTTTTTAAACTGGGGAATAACCTAGAGAAACTGAAACCATCTGTCATTCTTTGTTATCAAACTTGATCTCTAAAGGGATGTCCCTAATGTAACCTATGGTTCCACTCAGTGCCTTAAATAGCATTACTGAGGCAGATCATTGATTTATCTTTCAGCAATATAATATTTTTTAACATAACTTAAAATTCTTCTTGAGATGGGAAGAAGCATTGTTCATTCTCAGCATCCTCTCAGCTCAACCCAGAAATTCTTAAGTTTGAACCTACCAATTAACTTTATTTTACATAGCATTGATTTTCCTTATAACTGCCTTTATTGTGAATTTTAATGCATTATGGCATCTTTCTTTTTAACAGTTCTTCATGTTATCCTTTTAATTTCATCCATTCAATAACTGTTTTATCCCATATATTCTAGAGAACAGAGCCTGAGTGAAGAATTACACACTGATTACTTACTTGAGAGATTCAATTCCAGGGCAGAGTGAGTGAGGGAAGAAGAATCTGAGGCAGGGAAGCATAAAAAATAATTCAAGGAAATGCATTTTTGTGCTGGCACTGCTTTAGGATGAGCCATGAAGAGACAGCATGTGCACTAAATTAGCCAACGAGGTTGG